CATGCCTGTATTTCTACTCCCAGTCTCAAATGAATGAGATCACAGAATTCAACAATTATGGCTGAATACGGGAGTAAATGAATAATTAATATTGCATGGGACATAAGGTCCTCCAGTCATTTATATCATTGATAAGCAGCTCTTTCAGGTGACTCTTGAAAGTAAGCAAACTCACTACGCTAGTAATTCCTTGCATTGACAATATTAGGCAGTCCCAAGAAAGCTGAGATGGAAGGACAGAAAATAGAAGCATACAGTTATCAGGAGTTATATTTCTTCAAGTTGAAAACATAGAATCATTATTTTTGTAATGAACTCTATGCTTAGATTGCTATCTTTCTTTTAAGTGTTTTATTTCCAATAACTTCTTTTTCTTTAAGTTTACATAGTAGTCTTTTAAGAAGAATTATTTCACACTTTGGGAGGCCGAGGCAGGTGGATCATGAGGTCAAGAGATCGAGACCATCCGGATCAACATGGTGAAACCCCGTTTCTACTAAAAATACAAAAAATTAGCTGGGCACGGTGGCGCATGCCTGTAATCCCAGCTACTCAGGAGGCTGAGGCAGGAGAATTGCCTGAACCCAGGAGGCGGAAGTTGCGGTGAGCCGAGATTGTGCCATTGCACTCCAGCCTGGGTAACAAGAGCGAAACTCCACCTCAGAAAAAAAAAAAAAAAAGAGTTATTTCAGTTCAACTTTACAGTTAAAAGACATGGGACAAGGGAGCTGATCTCAGGGCTTTGATGATGAGTTTAGAGGTGAAGTCAGACTACCTGCCTACTCTCTTCCTGCAAACGAGCAACTCACTCTGACCGGAGACAAGCACACAACTGACTTAATCTCATTTTAAAAGTATGATAATAAATCTCATTTAGACATTCAATGCTGCTTGATAATCCTCTTACACTTCCCTAGCATCGTAATCTTACCTTCTAAAATGACCATTTTACCCTTTCCCTTCTCCCCTTAAATTATTCCTCATTCTCAGCTGATCATTATCCTTGAATTTAGTTTGAAAATAGCGATAATAAGACAGGACTTTCTTACCTTCCTACCACTAGATCTATGTACCTACTTATATTAGTCCATGCCCATGGTCATCTCCCTGTGAATGCGTCTCTATTTGTGTTGAAGGCTAACTCTTCTACTTGGGATCTGAATTCTGTGCTTCCTGCCTTCTCAAGGACTTTGCTTCTGCAATAGTTCCCCTCTCTCTTCTTCAGAGAAATTATTTCTCCTCTAGAGGAATTTCAATCAGCATATGAATATGCTGTAACATTTCTAGTCCAGACAAGAAACACATGCTCGATACACGTCTCTCTCAAGCTGCAGCCCCATTTCTCTGATCATTTTTATAGTTGTATAGTTATCTATAACTGCTATCTCTTGCTTTTTCACCACACTTTCTCTCCTCAAACTCCTCCTCTGTCTCATTTTACTCGAACTCTTGGCAGCATTCAAGACAGGTGGTCACCCTCTCCTTTTTAAGGCAATATTCAATCTGTATAGCAGTTAGCTACTGCTTCATAATGCATCCCCCTAAAACTCAGTGGCTTGAAATGTTTATGTGTGCTCATGACTCTATGAGTTTTCTGGGTGGCTCATACGATGTCCTCTTTGCTCATGCCTGTATTCATGGTCATCGGCAGGGAATGTGGCTGTGCTGATTTAGGCTGGGCTCTGACATGTTGGGGGTTGGCCAGACCTAGAATGGCCTCAGCTGGGATATTTCAAAGATGATTGCTTTCCTCACAATCGGGCCAACTCTCTTCTACCAGTTCTGTCCATCTACAAAGTAATGGCTGTGAGGCACTGATGACAATTCTTGACTTTGTGTGTATTTGTGTGCTAATATAGGGAATAAAAACCAAAATCCTTGTGTTCCTTTGCAAGTCTGTAAATTGCATGGTTTTGTTTTTAGGTGCAATGGAAATGAGTAAGAATTCAATGGAATAATTTTTCATATTGTAGTTTCTGATTGTGCAAAGGATCAGAACAAGGGCAAAGGACAATTAAAAACATGCTAAGGTTATTACATTTCTGTAAGGAGATCTATAGGAGCAGAAAAAGCCTTTTAGTGTAAGTGCATGTACAAAAAAGTCAACTTTTTTACGTGACTGAGAAAGCTCTCATAGATAAGTGAGCTAGCTCTGAAATGCATAAAACCTTTTCATATGTAAATAAAGTAAAACCTGGCAGCTCTACCATCTGTGAGGGTGTGAGAGCTCTTGGAAAATGACTCATTCAGTTAGGCAAAGATGTGAAACCATATTTGAATATAAAAATATGCAAACTACACAGAATCTAGAATACTGGGGACAGCAATAGCACGTACTCTTAACAATAGAGTATTTAGAATAGACGTGAGATTGTTGAGAAATTGACAAATACTACAGTAGTGAATGAAAAAAGTAAAAGTAATAAATACTGCTTTTGAAAAATTCTTCTGACTTAGTATGTAAAAATAAGTGTTGAAGGACCTGAAGAAATCATTTATTTCAACACATTTTGCAGAGTAAAGCACTAAAAACATCTTAGGCCCAGAGAGGTTGAGTGAATTGCCAACAGGACATAGGAAGCCTGTGGCGCTGGCAGGACTGGATGCACAGTGTGCCGACACCCAATTCTCATCTTCTTCTAGGCCTGGAACCATTTCACTTCTGAGAAAATCCTCTACGGACTTTAATATGTTTCTGTAGTATGTAGGGCCTAAAAGATTATCCTTTCTTTTGTGCAGGCTCAGGAGTTTATTATTAACCCGAGTGCTCCATATCCAGAAAACTGACATCTCGATGGTTTTCATGAGAAAACTATTTTTTGATATAAGGCAAATCAAATGCTATGTTTTTCAGAATAATTTTTTGACATGATAACTCTCCAAATGTGCAATTTCACTCATTATTTTATACATCTAAACTCTGCAGGATATAGTAATTGAGTTCTTCAATTCTGTGTTAAGTAGAAATCCTCCAATTCTGTCATAATGTCAGACAACTTTAATTGATGCCTTCCTCGCCACTCCCTCAAAAAATAAGAAACAGTGTTCTTAAGAATGTTTGATATCTATCTGTTCTTTAATTAGGAATCAATTTTCATTCTAGTAAATATGGAAAAATATGACATAAAACCAATAAACTGATTTGATTTTCCTGCCCCAAAAGTTGGGAAAATGGTGAAACAAATAGAATTCAAATTTTCCTCCATTTACCTGACATGAATATAAAATTGACTATTTCTGAGATACTAAGATATGTGGTAAAATTTTAACTTTTTCTCCTAAAAAAAAAAACACAATGATACTAGCAATTTAAAACAGGGTCCCCAATGCCAGAGCACAGACCAATACCCATTTGTGTCCTGTCAAGAACTGGACCACACAGCATGAGGTGGTGGTAGTTGAGCGAGCATTACCACCTGAGCTTGGGCTCCTGTCAGATCAGCAGTGGAATTAGATTGTCACTCAAGGGCGAATCCTGTTGTGAACTGTACATATGAGGGATTTAGGTTGCATGCACCTTATGAGAATCTAATGCCTGATGATCTGAGGTGGAAGAGTTTCATCCTAAAACCATTCTGCCCTGCTACCCCTCTATCCTTGGAAAAATTGTCTTCCATGAAACTAGTCCCTGGTGCTAAAAAGGTTGGGGACCACTGATCTAAAACAATGATCAGTTAAAATCATTTCAGTTTATAATTTTAATTCCAGTCTAAACAAAAACAAATTACTGTTACCAAACTATACATATAATGAAAGATTCATGTAATTAAAGATTATGTGAATAGTTTGGTAACAATCATTAACTTTTCATTTCTTTTCTGTTATTTTTTGAGACAGAGTCTTGCTCCGTCACCAGGCTCCAGGTTGGATTGCAGTGGAGTGACCTCGGCTCACTGCAACCTCCATCTCCTGAGTTCAAGCAATTCTCTTGCCTCAGCCTCCCGAATAGCTGGGACTACAGGTGCATGCCACCATGCCCAGTTAAGTTTTGTATTTTTAGTAGAGACGAGGTTTCACCATGTTGGCCAGGATGGTCTCGATCTCTTGACCTTGTGATCCACCCACCTTGGCCTCCCAAAGTGCTGGGATTACAGGTGTGAGCCACCGCACCTGGCCATTAACTTTTCTTTAGACTGGAATTAAAGTTTATCTGCGTATATTACTTGAAAATCCAAGACTTCTAGCACCTGTGTTCTTACTAATACAAATATAGGAACTGTGCGGGTAAGTAGTTCGGAAAGAAATGAAGAGTGTGAAGATTGGAGTCGCATTGCCCAGTTTGAAGCCCTGGGCTGTCACTGTTATCCAGGCATCTCCAGGCAAGTTCTGTTGTCTTTGTCTCTCATTTTGTAAAACAAGAGCACTAATATGGCTCTCACAGTAGGACGGAGATAACTTATGCATTGCACTAACAAAGTACTTAGTATTTAACAATAATTTAGCTTAGCTGTAACTAGGAGACTGGACTAGTGGCACAGTAACCTACTATATCTCCTGGATGTTTTTGTTGTATATCTTTTTTTTTTCTTTTTTTCAAAGCTCCAAAATCTGTTATCAGCTTATTTATCATTTACTTCTTTCTCTTAAAAATAATATCCGTTTAGTTGAGGTCAGACAAAATGATTATAAAACCCATCTGTGTTTAAAAATGGCTATATAACCCATAATTCTTTATTTCTCTCTGTCTTACTGGTTTCCTTATTGATTACTGAATTAAATAAAACCCTTGACATGTTCATTTTTAGATCTGTTGAAGAGTCATAAGCATATCCTGCTTAAAGATTATCTTTTAGCAAATTACCTTTTAACACAGTTAAGAGTGTGTTTTCAAATCGATGAAAAGAAGAAATAAAAAACCCGACACCCACTAAAAAGCTGTCATGACCATGTTTTTTTGCAAGTGTTAAAAAACATGTTACTCTTATGCATTCATGACTTACTCCAAGTTAAATTATAAGGTCATAATTAATATTAGACAGATACAGCAACAGTTGTATTTTGTTTTGTTTAATGCAATTCCAAAGCATGAGTTATGTCACATTTTCTGTAAATGTAAATTTAAGATTTACATTTCAAATTTCTTAGTATAAAAACATGAAGCCATAAGCAACTAGGTGGCACTCACACACCTTTTTTTTTTCTTGAAAAAATATGGTGTACATTTACTTGGTGGCTCTGTAGTTCACATGGATTTCCGGTTTCATGTCACAGACCATGTTCAAGAGCTGTTTCATCACGCGTTCCATACACTTACTGTCGTGTCCATTAAGTTCTCGTATCTTCCCTGGTGTTTGTTCTTCTGTTTCATCTGAGTGATTACTCTGAAAGCCCATTATCCACCGAAACAAAACAGACAGAATTCACAACATCATAATGCAATTTACGGTTTTACAAGTTAAATTTGTCTTAGCCTGTTCACTGATAATTGTCCTATGGTGCACAATTATGTACTCCTTATCTAGAATTTTTTTCAGAGAACAGACAAGATCATCAGTGCCGTGAGTGGGAAGGATGAACTTTCATAAAATATTGAAGCTGGCCATAGCAGACTACTTTCACTTTTAACCGACCTCCACATGGTACAAATTGAATACACATTTATAATCATTAAATTATGCCCAGAAGTTCTTTTCCATCGTATTTTTCATGTATTTAAAACAGTTTCCATATCTTGCCCATTATTTACTTTCTGAATTATAAGTATGGAAAATGTAGCTGAAAGATACCATTAAACCCACTTTTGCTGTTTTTTCGAGTGAATTAACTGGTTTTTCTATTTTTAAAATACATTGTCTGAACTGACCGTGTCTTGTTTATCAGGAAGACAGTCACAATGTGCCCTATAAGATACTTTTATATTCATGAGTGTATTTCCTCATTTTTTTTTTTGAGATGAAGTCTTACTGTGTCTCCCACTTCAGATTCCCAAGTAATTGGGACTACAAGTGCACGCCACCACATCTGGCTAATTTTGTATTTTTAGTAGAGACAGGGTTTCACTATGTTGGCTGGGTAGGTCTCGAACTTCTGACCTCGTGATCCTCCTGCCTTGGCCTCCCAAAGTACTGGGATTACAGGCATGAGTCACCGTGCCTGGCCGTACAGGTGGATTTCTTTGGGTAATAGATATTATCATGAAAATTTTAATGTAAGTTGTATTTCTTTCAAATTGAGTATGCTTGTTCATTTAGTTACATTATAATTTTAGACATAGTGTAATATGTCTAATTGCTCTTTAATTGGCAGTGATTCCCAGTCTTTTCCATTATAAGCTCTTTCCTCGTAGCTTCTTTATCCAGAAATTATTTGATCAAAATATAATTTCATCAGGAGAGTTAACAATTTAAAGGAATTCTGCAGTGAAACACTTTGAAAGTTAGCCTTTACTAAAGCAAACAACTCCTAATGCATCTCCTTTGTAAACTCAGCCTTTCTTAAACATGGCATTTTAAAGGCAAGAAGACTGTTTTATGTTTGTTTGCTTCTTCCTTCTGTGAGTGTTTAGGAAAAGTATGCATTTAATTTAATCCAAGAGACTCCACTAATGACTGACTTCTACTTGAGGGTCGTTAGACTATTCTAAATTCTAGAATCTCCATGATCTTTTTGAGTCCCAGGCTTGAAATCAAATGCCTCTGAGGCTCTTGGGTTCAAGTTCTTTTCTGTTTACAGTCCAGGCAACAGGGTCTTCTCAGTTCAAAGAATATAATTTTGAGAAGTTGCAGCTTCTAAGACATCAAATAGCTTTTGCAGAATAGCATTTTGATAAGTGAATATACAAGAAGCAGAAACATAGATCAAATTTCCCTTGCTAAGAAGAAATTTTAAAATAGAAGAGAACTACTTATTGAAATGGTTCTACCAAGCTCAAATTTTTTCTTCTAAATTCAGTATCTTAAGTGGGATTCTACCAAACTTAAAAAAAAAAAAGATTTTCTCTAAATTCAATGTCTTCTAGTGGCAAAAAATTAAAAGCAAACTGTTGTGAAACTATTACCTACTTTTCTTTGGGACAGTATTAAAAATAGTTGTCATTAGGTTAGTTTAGTGTAACTGTTCTGATGACTTGGAAAAGTGAATCTCAACCTTAGCTTCTCTATTTTTTTCTTAATAGGCATAATGTCCCATTTGATATGATACTGTAAAATGCAAACCAGATCCATTGGTAAGTGTGCAGAGCAGTTGTGTCTAACAAAAGTGTAATATGAGCCACAAAGGCAACTCATATAGATATAATTATAAATTTTGTAGAAACCACATTAAAAATGTAAAAGAAATATAGTTATTTTAATATATTATATTTAACCTAACATTCATATTTTAACATACAATCAATATAAAAATTATGACATTCTTTTATTTCACACTAAGACTTTAGAATCTGGTATTTTATACTTGCAGCACATCTAGATTCGGACTAGCTACACTTCAAGTGCTTAATAGCCACATATAAAGTGGTCACCATTTTGGACACTGCAGCAATGGATGGCAGCTGTTAATATTAGTTGAATTTTTAATGTGGCTTGCCGAAACAGCACAATCATTTTCCAGAGAGAAAATTATCATAAAGACGACATGTCGCATAGAAATTTAACTTTGCGGTGGCTCACAGCTGTAATCCCAGCACTTTTGGAGGCTGAGGCAGGCAGATCATGAGGTCAGGAGATTGAGACCATCCTGGCCAACATGGTGAAACCCAGTCTCTACTAAAAATACAAAAATTAGCTGGGTGAGGTGGCGCATGCCTGTGATCCCAGCTACTTGGGAGGCTGAAGCAGGAGAATCGCTTGAACCTGGGAGGCGAAGGTCGCAGTGAGCCAAGATTGTGCCACTGCATTCTAGCCTGGGTGATGGAGCAAGACTCCGCTTCCAAAAAAAAAAAGTTTAACTCTGAACAAGTAATCTGTATGTGTTAGTGATTATAATTTTCACTGATTGCCCTACTTGTACTTTTCAGACTTTTCCAATCTGTTCTGTATTTTCAGAAACATTACAATACCCTTGCAATACCTCCATAATCCTGTTTCATCCAGCATAAACAAAATATTATTTCTGAGTTTACTTGATACCCAGTGATTTGAGTTTCTACAGTGTTTCCTATGCAATACTTTAACAATGACTAGTCATACACTATTTTAAATGGTTTTCCTAGGGAAGAATTCCTTATCTTGGTATCTGCATGCAGAGTATTGATTTAACCCATGTAGGAGTTTCAGTAAAGGAATGTAAGTGACACGAAGGCAAGAATCAGTGTCGGCTTGTTCATTGATGTATTATAAGTGCCTTAAACACTGTGTGGAACTTACTAGATGCTCAGTACACATTTTTGTGTTGAGTGGAATGATCAGATCTCTTGATATTACAGAGAACTCATTACCTGTGTTCTGTTGCTCATGTTGGTGGAAGCCTGTTACCTGAATATTTGGGACAATGTATAAATTAATAGTTGATAATTCTGTAACATGTAATGATACGTTTGGTCTAAGGGTGACATGTGAGAACTTCTCCATGTTAATTTTCAAAATGTCAACTTTGAAACTGATATATAGCTTGACAGCATAATGACTGATGGTGATGGAAAATATTTAAACACTCAATATGTTTCCTTGTAAGTTGCTTAAATGTTCAGATCCTTCTGTCATATGAAAAATACAGTTTAATGATCTGAATTTGTGATTGCTTTCAGGAAATAAAATGCTCTTGGGATATAAACTCAGGAAGAAAGAGTCAAGATATAAAGGTCTTCAGTGTGCCCAAGGCAACCATTTTCAGGTTCTCTATTTGGATTCATGATCTATCTGACTTTTACTTGTATTACCAAAAGATTTAATTTTTCTACTGTAGTCCAGATTTCTTTTTAGCAATGTAATATCTTCTTTAGTAGAAGATGTTATCTTGGATAGCAATAAGGAAGGGATAAATAGAGTTTTGATGAAACAATATTTGCTCATGTACAGCCCACATTGGGATACCTGCTTCTGTTGAGAAGCCAGGCACTTGAAAAAGTACATGTATTAACAAGAGCTAAAAAGCAACAAAAAAGTAACATCAAGATACAACACCCACAGCAGACAGGAAGCTGGTTTTTTGGGTCTCCTCCCAAACCTCCTAATTGCTCTGGGTTAATGAGATGAAATTTAAGTGAAATAGCAATATGCCTGACATATGGAGGTCACGCCGAGGAAAGAAGACCTGTGCTAATGGTTTTACAATATGCTTAAAATAGACGAGGCTTAAATATGCTGACCTTTCTATGTGAGCTTTTGATCAAGTAGCTGTAAAATTGGCTTGGACTGCTAATTATGAGAGCCATGAGGAGTTTTAATTATTTAATTATTAACCAAAGCAGAGAACAAATAACCTGAACAAGATATATATATATATCTGATAAGATTCTTCTGGAGAAATAATATTTGAAGAGATTTAACACAAGCACTTTCTGAAATTATAATCAGTTTTGTCACTACTTAAAAAATGGAAATAATTATATCAGAAATATCCTATATAAGATAATCAAAGTGGGATAATGTTAAGGATGATTATTTTCTCAGGTCCTAATAAATCATGGTTAGGACAGGATTCAATAAGGAAGAAAAGCAAAAAAAAATGTTATTCTTTCAACAAATATTTCCTTATTGCATATCTACTGTGTGGCAAGCACTGTTCTAATATCTAGAAAAACAGAGAAAAAAATAAATAAATGATTCCTTTGGTGTTTAAAGTCCAAGAAGGAAAGATAGACAATATGCAAAAAGAAAGTAAATATAAAATATGTGAGATAATGCTAAGTGCTGTGAGGAAAAACAATGGGATACAATAGGTATGTATTTATGACAGACAGAATTTTAGATGAAGTGATCAGGAAGAGGCACTAACAATTGAACAGAGATCAAAGAAACATGATTGTATCTGAAGAAAAGAAATGCAGAGTGTGAGAATGGTACGTGCCAAGGCCCTGTGGTAGGGCATGTTCTGTCTTCCTGAGGAAGAACAGAAGGCCAATATGGCTAGAACAGAACTAATAGAGACTAGGGTGGTAGACAGTGTGGTGAGAGGGACAGCTAAAGGCCAATCGTGGAGGGTTGTATGAACTTAGGACTTTAGGATTTCTTATTTTCAAACATTGATGAAAGTATTTATTTTTGCTGAGTGGTCCACTTTATTCCAGAAAGGACTTTTTTTTTATTTGATGAGAAAGATTTTATGATCATGTGGTCCTGTTTATTTAATCCTACATGATCTCCTTATCCATTAGCACTAAAATGAAAGTTGTAAATAAAGAGGATTTCCAAATTGCTTACAATTTATTTGCAACATCAGACTTCTGCACAGAGCTTTGTTTGTATTTTTACGGAGGGCAAAATAAAATATCTTATAAAATTTAGTTATGACACATGGAGTTGAGCACTTTCTTTTAGACCATGTTGCAACATGGAAGGAAGGATGTTGGCTCCAAAGATTTTATGCATTTATAATTTACAGTAAACTGCAGATATTTAAAAATATGCCAGTGTAGGAAAAAACATTTGTTTATCTCTAAAAGGAAGATTTATTGAATGAGTCAGCCAGTTGCAAAGATAATCGTCAGAAAATACCAGAAGGCTTTTCAGCAATTTGTAACAATATCTACCTTGGTCATTTGTAAATCTTGGAAATGTTAGTTATTTATGTAACTAACCATATATATTTATAGAAAAACATGTTCTCTAAAGTTTTTGTTTGCTAAAATATGTTAGTCAACAATCAGTGGTAGGAAGGAGACTTTAAGCAATCCCTTCAACTTGTATATTTGGAAATATGGTTTTTAATATATACTATATATATATATATATATAAAATAACGATTGATTGACCCTTTATGAGACAAATTAAAAATGCCTTGAAAGTGAACATGTAAAATCAGAATTTATTATGGTTAAGATTTAGTTCGATATTCAGCTTGATTGAACTGTATCTGCTCAACTGAAGCGTATTTTTTCTCTCGATATTCTATGTTACACCTTATGAATATGAAGGTCTTATCTATTCTGCATAAGAAACTGTGCTGACTTTCTTACTCACCTTAGTTGTTTTAGTCGAAACTCCTTATCTGTCTGCATTCTGTACTGGTCAGTTTCTACCACTGCTTCCTCCTTGGCTTGCTTCAATTGCTTTCCTTTCCCTGAAAATTAACAAGATATATATATCATTGTTAATATTTCTGTCCCTATATAACAAAGACATATATATATAAACAACTATGTGTGCGTGTGTATATATATAGTATGTGTTACACACACATGCATATGGAGCTGCAAGCTTCTTTTTTAAAAAATGGATACATTCTTCGTTATTTTTTTGATGATTTTTTCTAGAATGCAAACTTTACTAAAAAACAATAGACCTTGAAAAGTTTGTAATTTTTTTCTGTTGGATTCTTTAGGACATGTAAATGACAACTTTTTTTCACACTTAGATGTTTAAATAAAATATCTGTCCATTTACTCACAGCAGTAATGCCGGAGAACAGATTCTAGCTGTCACTTACTCAAAAAGACATTATTTGGTCAGATTTTCGGTCTTGATTTGCTGCCAGAATCCTTCAGTCCACACCAACTGGATCCTATTTAACACTGGCAGATCTCCAGAATCACTGCAAACATTCAAGTCAGACTCTATCAAACTAATTTACAATTTTTAGAAACGTTTTATTGGGATTTTTTTCTTACCATTTGTTGACTCTACAGTGTCTGATTAAGCCTCACAATCATCAAAGTTTTTTTTTTTTTTTTGGTAGCTTTCTCTGAGGGGAACTTTCTTGAAAGTGGCTATAAAACCAATTGTTTTTAATGATTAGGAGATTTAGTTAAGTAGCCTTTTTTCTTTTATTAAGAGCAAAGGTGTAAGCCTTAAGCTAGCAGACAACATAAATGAAAGTTTTAGACAAATACAATGCTGTTGCAGTCATTAGCTGAGCACATGAGATTTTTGACAACCAGAGTAAGTTTTGGGGGTTACAGACTGATATTAATTGGTGCTATGCTCTCCCACCTACCGCCTTGGGCTTAGCTACTAATGCTTCATGATCATTAAAACTGTAAAGAAACTCTGAACTATATTAAAATTCTTTTTTTCTATGAATCTATTGTCTTTTGATTTTAGTAAAATGCCTCCATTCTTTTGCTATTAAATATTAAAAAATTAATAGTTTTTTTCCTTTAATAATGTTTCTTAAGTATTGTTTACAATTTTTGTCAATGCTTTGTTATATTGTGAAGGACTCTGAACTAAAAAAAAATGTGTTCTCATTAAGTAGCGTAAAAGAAACTCTGAGTGTAAACTTATCTGTCTGCCATTTACCTATGTGTGTATCAGCTTCTGCAGCATTTGCACAGAGATGTTTCTCAATTTCTCTCCCTTTCAAATATGAGTTGCTTCACTAGTCACTGTAGGTATGTGGAATAAAAATAGAGTCACTGCGTTACAAATTGAAATGTGTCTCTTTTAATGCATCCCACCCTTGAATGGTCTGGGAAGACCTCATTCAGAACAGACATTTAACTTTGCATACACTTTCTTTCTTTCTTCTTTTTTTTTTAATGCATTTTAGGTTTGGGGGTACATGTGAAGAACATGCAAGATAATTGCATAGGTACACATGTGGCAGTGTGATTTGCTGCCTTCCTCCCCTTCACCCATATCTGGCATTTCTCCCCATGCAATCTCTCCCCAACTCCCCACCCCTGGCTGTCCCTCCCCTATTCCCCCAACAGACACCAGTGTGTGATGCTCCCCTCCCTGTGTCCATGTGTTCTCATTGTTCAACACCCACCTATGAGTGAAAATATGCAGTATTTCATTTTCTGTTCTTGTGTCAGTTTGCTGAGAATGATGGTCTCCAGGTTCATCCATGTCCCTACAAAGTACACGAACTCATCATTTTTGATGGCTGCATAATATTCCATGGTATATATGTGCCACATTTTCCCTGACCAGTTTATCGTCGATGGGCATTTGGGTTGGTCCCAGGTCTTAGCTATTGTAAACAGTGCTGCAATGAACATTTGTGTGCATATGTTCTTATAGTAGAACGATTTATAATCCTTTGGATATATACCCAGTAATGGGATAGGTCGGGTGAAAACTACTGCTCTTCTATTGCTTGAGACTTAATGGAGCATTAATAGCAATGCTTATCTTTCCTTTAATTAATGCTAATTACCATTTTGTATATACTGATTCCTTCATTTTCTATAGTTGTAACCATTTCCTGACAACTACACATATGTTATTCACAGAGATTGTCTGTGAACAGAATAACCAATGATATGTTGGGAGGAAAAACTATTCCTTGATCTTCAACCCACTTCCTTATCTCTGTTTGTCATTTATGTAACTAACCATATATATTTATATAAAAACATGTTCTCTAAAGGTTTTTATTACTAAAATATGTTAGACAGCAATCAATGGTAGGAATGAGACTTTAAGCAACACCTTCAGCTTGTTTATTTGGGAATCTGATTTTTAATATATACTATATATTACATAATAGCTATTGATTGACCCTTTATGAGACAAATTAAAAATGCCTTGAAAGTGAAAATGTAAAATCAGTAATTATTATAATTAAGATTTAGCTTAATGTTCCGCTTGATTGAACTGCGTCTGCTCAATTGCAACATATTTTAGTTTAAAACACTTTAGAGAATATGTGTTTATATAAATATATATGGTTAGTTACATAAATCAGAACCAAAATACAGAATATTAAGGTATTAATTTTTTTAGTAATAATGGGTTATAAGATACATAATTATTTTACAAAATAAATCACTTGCCTCATTATTCTCCATCTTAATTGCATATCTAAAAATAGTGGTTTTAAAGTTATGCCTCACCAGCACGTTAAAAAAAAAATCATAGGAAAGGCTGTGTGTGCCCTACCCATAAGCAGAATTCAGTGCTTCACTAAGAGGCTGTATATTAAGCTCCATCACAGGGTGACAGGCTCAGAGAGTGTCTGTGATTCCCTTGTCATGGCAGCAGTCACCTGCTGGTTCTGATTCAATTAAATTCGAGAGCCACAGGGAAATCGCTGCTGGCACAGCAATTTTCTGGGTAGACTCAGCAGCTGCTGCTGTGTGAGAGCCTGCATATGCTCCACCTGATTTAATCCAGTGAAAAAAACTGAAGCCTACAGCCTACTGTTCTGTTAGAGGTGAAGCAAAATGGCATGCATCAAATCCACTTGTATTAACCTCGAGCTTGCTTCTCTCTCCGTGTAAGAAGGTTGCCAAATTCTGAAATTATACTTACTTCTTCGTAAGCATTAAAAACATGCCTGCTGTGACCAAAACGGGGGAGAAAGGGCATTTGGACTGAGTTTTAGGTGATTTGTGGGAAAAGGATTTAAAAAGTCAATTTTGGGCAGGTTAAAACTAAACTTTGTGTAGGAGACAAAGGGTAATACTCGAAGATGGAGTCTTCCTGGCCTTCTGAATAGGATAGGCCAAGTGAAGTGACTGTCCCCAGATGCAGTACGTTCTTGAGATGCAGAGAAACCTTATTCTATTGCTTGGATTGTTAAATTTGTTCTAGATTCTTCCTGATGGAGAAAACAGGATTTCATTTATCATAGAAGGAAATCAGAATCATGCCATGGCATCACTACAATAAAACATCAGAAGCTTTGTAACTTTAAGCAAGTTACTGAGATTGAATTTTCTCATGTTTAAGACAAAGTTAATAATCTACTATAAAAACTCATCTGAGGGATTAGAAGAAATGTATATAAAATGTTTGACGAAAGTAGTTCTTTAATTATTTTAAATCATTATTAGGAAAAGAGGTCCAATTCCTGGGGGCCTTTTGCTCAAAAGGAAGGCAAGGAGTAAAGCATCAGTTTGAGGAGAAGTCCTCAGGCTGTCACTAGAGAAACCTCTGTCAGGTTCCTGGAGGATATTTAATTGGAGGCATGCAGAGGACAGCTGGGCAGACAAGATGCAGGAGGTAGGTCTGAAATGAAGACAGAGGTTCGCATGTTAGTCATTGGGTCTGTATATATGCTGGTTACAGCAATGGGATGTAGACAGAAATCAAGGGAGAGTACACAGAATGAGGAGAAAAGAAGGCTAAGGTCTCAGCTTGGGGGATATTAACGCTCAACCTTCAAGAAAAGGAGGAGGAAGCTTGGAAGGAACCAGCAGTAATCAAAGAAATAGGAGAACCCAAAAGGCAGAAGAGGACATTCCAAGGAGGACATAGCCAACAGCATCAGGTGAGACAGAAAACCAAAATAAGAGATATTTAACTAACATTACTAGCTGTCTTTTCTGTGCCACACACTATTGTAGCTCTAAGGATATAGCAGTGAAAACCACAAACTTTTTGTTTCATGGAATTGGTGTCCTGAATGTAGTTGGGGAGATAAAAATAGAAAACAGACACTAAGTATATAATATGTCAGGGATGATGATGAAGAAAGGGGGATTAGGGGTAGAGAAAGATGGTGGCGGATTCTACTTCAGACAGATCAGGCCTCTCAGAGGAAATAATATATGAACAGAGACCTAAAGGAATACGGCAACTAGTCATGCCGATATCTGAAGGGGAAGAGTGTTCCAGGCAGAGGGAACAGCAAGTGCAGAGGCCCTGAGGTGGGAGGATATTCGCCATACTCAAGGAAGAGCAAAAACACCATCATGGCTGGAGCGAAGAGAACAGGATGGTTGAATGTTAGGAGATAGTATTAGAAAGACAGTAGCAGGACCAGATCATGTAGACCTCACAGGTCATGGTAAGAATTTTGGTCTTTGGAATACTAAATTCAGGAAGGGTTCTTAGCCAAGGAGTGTCATACTACTACTTGTGGTTTAAAAGGATTTCTTTGGCTGGTGTGGTGAAAATACATCGTAGGGGTAAAGGAGAAGCAGGAAGATCAGTTTGAAACTTTTTGCAACTGTTCAGGCGAATGTTAATAATTGCTGGAAATAGTAAAGTACTAGTACAGTTGGCAAGAAGAGGGTGGATATATTTTGGAGGTAGAGCTGATACATGAGCATGAGAGACAGAGATGAGACAATGATGACACCATTTTATTTGGGGGATGGAGTCAATACTACAATTTCGTTGCTGTGCCTATTCAACATCCAATAATGATGCTGAGAAGGCTGATGTTTATATGAACTTAAAGATCGGGGAAGCAACGAGTGCTGGGAATATTAAGTTTGGGAGTCACCAACACGGAGCTGATATGTGAAGACATGAGATTAGATGAGATCACCTCAGAAGTATCTGCCAGTATATAAGAGAACACATCCAAATTGGGGTCCCGACTTTAAAGATCAAGAAGACAACAGGAAGCCAACCATGAGAGTAGTGTTCCAAAGTCAAATGAAGAAAGAGTTTCAAAGATGAAAGGAGGATCTAAGTGTGAATGAGATACTGAATTAACATTGGGTTTAGCAACACTGGTGATCTTGGCAAGAGGAGCTATTGGTGGAGTTACAAGAAGAAATGTTCAATAGAAAATGGAACGAAAAATTGTAGACCCAGGGAATATAGGAAACTTCTTTGAGAAATTTTAACCAACAAAGGAGAACAAAGAAAATAAAATAAGAGCTCAAGGTGGTCAAGTGGATTTGACAATTAGAGGATTTCATTGTGCTCCCCAAAAATATATGTTGCAGACCTAACTCCTGGTACCTGTGAATGTGACCTTACTTGGAAATAGGGTCTTTGTAGATGTAATCAGGTTAAAATAAGGTATAAAGGATTAAGATGGGTCCTAAATCCACCAACTGCTTCCCTTATAAGGAAAATTTGGATACAGAGATATAAAGTCAGAGCAGACACACAGGGAGGAAGGCCATGTGATGATGGAGGTCTAGATTAAAACGAGGCAGCTGCAAGACAAGAGCGCCAAAGATGGCTGGTTACCACCAGTGACCAGGACAGAGGCATGGTGTTTCTCCCTCAGTACCTCCAGAAGGCTCCAACCCTGCTGCATCTTCTGTTTGGACTTCTGGCCTCCAGAACTGAGAGATAATCAATTTCTGTTTAAACCCACCTCGTATATGGAAATTTATTACAGCATCCCTACAAAACAATGCAGAGAATCAGCAAGGAGCATAGAGAAAACAATGTTAGTTGAACATTGGAGGCAAAGCCAGATACCCTCATGCTGTGGAAAGAATAGGTATGGAAATGAATGTGCCACCTGACAAACAAATGCACAAACAGTTCAGAAGTTATTTTTATTTGCTATATAAACAAAGGGTACTTTGGTAATGTTTGAAGATTTCTGTTAGTAATACCATTTTTGATCTATTCTTTCACTCAGAAAACAAAGCAAAACCAAACCAAACAGAACTTCTTGGCTTTCTTGGGCGGTTGTCAATGTTATGATAAAACCAACCTGATTCAAGGAATGCTATTATTTTTCTCAGCAACTACAAACATTAAGAAAGAAATGTCACCAGAAAACAAAGAGGCAAACTCTGCTTTGGTGCCTGTCACTGCTAGAGCTTCTCACGCTAAATCTATCGCCTGTCAGATTGTCACTTCCTGGGTTTTCTTTTGCTTTTCTTTTACTTATATTTCCCTTATTAAAAACATAACAAATAGTTTTGTGTAGCTCCTGGACTGAATATAACCAAATGCTATTAATAGATGAAAATGCTCTGTGGTTATTATTTTAATATTACCTACCTGAAGAAATGAAAGCCCAATACACTCACAAATGCCCTGTTAGTCTGTGGACTATAAAGGAGAGGAAGTATTTACAGGCCTACAAAGCATGCAAGACAGGGCCATGAAATTCTTATACAACAACTTTTATTAGTTTATTAAAACTCATGTCTTTATGAACAAAAGCATCCCCTTGCATAGTGAAGAATTTATTAAATCAAGGTG